GGTGTGTGTGCCTGCACACGTGTAGATAACCACAGCTTTTTATGCCAGAATTCTTTTTTTATGTTGAAGGACACACACTTTTTCTTTCATAATAGCTCTAACTATTGCACTGAAATTTCAAATTGGTATTCCCACCCTAATTTGGTTCTTTCTGCTTTCTGTTTTGGGATTGTTTAGTAACCCTATTAGCATGTTTTAAATCTCAGTCTCATTAACCTTTAAAAAACCGCTTGCTTATTTGAGAGGGTCGGGGAATCTAACTGCACATCCAGAGGAGGAGATGAGGGATGTACCCACCTCTGCCATTTGCTGGAGCTCAGAAAATTGAGAGAAAACACTTTGATCCTACCATTTAACAGTTGCTTTGCTGTCTGACAGATGCCTGTGTGTGTGCAAACTGTGTGCCACTATGTCTGCCCGGGCCAGGGAGGGTTGCTGGGTGCCTCCCACTGGCAACCACAGTGGGTTTTCAGGACTGGGGTGTAGGACGCAGTGCACAGGGGTAGGACACAGGGAGCCAGAGCATGACGAGAAGAAAAGGGATTGGGAAAATGACTGAGGCAGATACCAACCAAGTCACAGAAAACTGCAAGGCTGAGGGAGCTGAAGACTTGGAGAAATGGAGGGAGCTGAGCTTAAATGACGAGAGCAGTGTGAGAGGCTTACATGGCTGTCTTCCAGTGCATCCGATTTATGGCAAAGGTTGGTTTCTCAGGATTAAGACAGTATATTTCTATGGTACCTTAGAATATTTCTCTACCTTTCCCATCTCAATCCTGAAGGAAGCCTTTCAGGAAGCTTTCCGTGTCCTCTTGAGTTATCTGAGAAGCACCTTGTTTAGAAGGTAGAACTGTTTACCTGAAATTCAGCTTTTCTAAAGGATTGACTTGCCTGGACTACAGTGAGTTTTCTGCTCTGGCCTGGGTGGCCAATTCATTTAGCCTTCCCATTTTGTTTTTTCTGTTGTATATCACAGGGGTTTCTTGTACATTATGTTTGGAAAGCTTATTTGTTGTCTTACAGAAACGAAACGTAGCTCCCTCGAAGAGCTGGGTCTATTGGTCCCTTTTGAAGTTGTTTGTTTGGTTTTTTGCTTTGTGGTTTTTTTTTAAACACTCAAACCTTTTCAGTCCATATTTCAAGAACAGAGAACTTAAGCTAAACCATTTTCATAAGATTTGAGTAATGCATAAAGGGGTGTGTTTGTGTTGTCATGTGTGCGGGAGCATTGTTGTTGTTTTCCAGTGTAATTCCTCCTATGCCATGCTCTTAGCTAGCCAACCAGTAGACACCTATGTGTATTCTGACTGGTGCTAAACACTGTTTCAAGCTGCATGAATTTTTTTAGATAGCAGTGTAGGCCTGAGGAATACATTTGTGATCGTGGTTTGGTGGGGGAAGAGAGGCAGCTGGGATGGAAATATCTCTCAAGTACTGAACCAATGGTTTACACTTCAGAAAAGCATCTTAAATGTGCTGGAAAGTTAATCTTGATATCCCGCTCTTGCACTCGGTGAGCACCACTCTTAAATAAGATTGAAAACATTTGTTTACCAAAGGTCTCTGGTATGATTACATGCTTTCCTATCCTGTGGTGTTCCTGTGGGAAGTCAGTAAAAGCTTCCCCTTCTGTTTGTCAGAGGGAGATGGGGGCTGAATGACTCTACTGAAGCCAAAACTACAAGTGAACTTCCCTGGCTGACGTCTGTTTACGCCCTTGATTTTGGTTTCTTTTTAATGTAATGTGTGTGTATAGAACAAGTGCTGTAAGAGTAAAGGAAATATAACCCCTCTGAAACATGCAGAAGCAGTGTACCTGCCTTGAGTCCTGATCAAGAAGCAGAAGCTGCCCCTGTGCCTGATCTGTTGGGAAGTATCCTGTCTGGACAGAGCTTTCTCATGATGAGTAGTTCGGATGTGGTCATCAATAGAGATGGTTCGCTGACGGCGAAGAAGGCAGGTAAGGGTTTGGCACGTAATAGTGCAATTAGCCTCTTTGTTTCATCCATGTCTGCCCTGGTCCTACAGGCTGCATAGCTTCAAACATAGGGATACTGATAGATTCAGTAGTTGCCAGCAGTAATCCATCTAGTAAGACTCTTGTGTATGCTCTGAAATAGTGTTACTTGTCTCTGTTTTAATTGCAGAGCTGAGATGTTACTGGAGGAGTTTGGTTTTAATAGGTAGTTTTCTTCTTTCAGAAGTACTGCACTGTAGTTTCATGCTGTGTTATAAAAAAAACGGAGGACTTGATAAAGCAGAGATATCTTAGTACCCATTTCTTCTGGCATTTGTCACACATTGCTGCCATGCCTGTGAACTGTACTTGGGTTCAAAAAGCAGTGATGAGGACCTTGGCAGGGAGTTTCTAGAGCTCTACTTTTGCAAAGAATACGTGCTAGCATCTTCAGCTGTGTCTTGGCATGGTATTACTTGGAAAGAATCTCTTCAAATTGGAACTTAGAGCTTTATTCTTAAAATAAGTACGTATAACATCCTCTGTTATAGTCATTTTTATCTATCGGTGACTACAGGATAATAAAACACAAATCTGGTGTTAAATAAACATCTGGTGTTAATAAACAGGGTATCTACAGAACAGAGTAATTTATTTCCTAAACGTTAGTGTTTACCTCAAAGATGCAGTTGTCTGGCATTAAACTTTGAGCATCTGACCAAAAGAACTATTGGACTGCCTTATTACTGTGTGATATGTTTGCAAACCAAAGCGGAACTTGAAATAATTAGCTCAGTACTTCTTTTAATATTGGGTGAGTATGTCCACGTACCTACTGAAAAGCTTAATTGTTTGTTTGTATGCCATAGCTCCACTTCACAGAAAATCAGCGAATGACTCGAGAGTGGATGATGGTTCAGGACATAACACCCAACCGAGTACAGTGCACTCAGGGACCACAGCAAGCAGCTCCATTGCTGGACCTTCAGTTTCCTCGGGGCTGAGTACTCACAGTAGACCCTCCTCCTCAAGCTTGTTTCCATCGCCTTCACCGTCACTGAGCAGGATTGAGCCTGCAGCAAACCCTGCACAGACTACATCAGAAAAGGCAACTGTAAAATCAGAATATTCAATGACACCCAGGTCTGTTCAGACTCAGAATATAGCTACTCTAAGCAGGCATGGCTCCAAGTTAGATGAAATGCCCAGATTCAATGGAAACTCTAAAAACTTTGCACCCACTGACTCATCTTCAAAGCCCCTGAGCTGTAACTTGCATTCTGGCTCAAAAGCTGTAACTGTGAGGCAGCCATTGAAACCACCTCCCAAGAGAATTGACATCTTTGAGCTTCCCAGGATACCAAAGATTAAAAAGGAAACCAGCAGCAAGCAGGTGGAGCCAGAACCCACAGGAAACCAAAGCTGTGACATCCCCAGCTCCTGTATAACCCAGCTGACTGGCAAAGAGAGCACTAATCAGCCGGGAAAGGGTAGCAAGGTGGAAAGTCAGAAGTCAAATGCCAAGGAATCTCAGCAACAAACGCGTACAAGCGCGGTGTCTTTTTCTACCAGTGCAGGCGTGTATAGCAGTTCATCGCTACTGGGCGCTTCGAGGAGCAAAGGCCCAAGCTCTTTCGAGAGTTTTAAAATCAATATTCCTGGAAACGCAGGGCATCCCGGCAGACTGTCTAACCCAGGATTTTGTAACACCTTCCGCCCTGTGGATGACAAAGTGCAACAGAAAGAGAGTCCTTCACCTCTTTTCTCAGTTAAGAAAAAGCAGGTCAAAAGTGAAATATATGATCCCTTTGAGCCAACAGGATCAGATTCAAGTTCAGCAAGCAGCAGTCCTGAAAGGCTTGGCTCAGGGATTCCCCTAACTAATATTACTAGGACTATTTCCATTGAAAATCCAAAAGTTCAAACGTTTCAAACTGTCCGTCGTTTCACCCCTTACGTGGTAGAAAATATATTTGGATCTGGGGCTGACTCTGATGTACCACCTAGTAACACAAAGTCTCATGATGACATGACGGTAGAAAGCAGGATTGTAGAACAGATCTCCGATACAGAGGAACAAGACAATATGGATGAGGAAGACTTTCTAAGCGGTCCTTGTACTTCATCTGCTGTTAAGCAAACTTCTAATGCAGAGTGTTTAAAGGAAGAAAGCAGAGAGGGCCCTAATGTGTTCTTTAATGCTGAAGAATTGATTAGACCTAATATTAATGTGAAACTAGAACCGGAGAGTCCCTCAAAGAACGATGGGCAGCAGAAAGTCCAAAAGGTAGAACAGACAGAGAGGCGATCACGTTCCAGATCCTGTTCAAACTCCAGCTCCCGAAGCAAAAAGAAGATGAAAAGGAAAAAGGCACTTGTCAAAGAGCGTAAGAGATCCCGATCAGGGTCTAGGGATAGAGCACACTCAAGGGACCGAAGCTCCAGATCTACCTCTTGGTCAGGTGGAGAAGAGCATAGCAAAACACACACACTGAAATCTAAGAGCAGGAGGTCTTCTACTGACCGTTCTAGCAGTCACGAGCGGTCTAAAAAAAAGAAAACGAAGGATAAAACCAAGGATAAAAAGGCAAAAACTTCTTGGTCTAGGGAGAGAAGGAAATCTAGGTCACGTTCAGGTAGTCCTGGAAGTACTTCTGAGTTTTATGAAAATAGGAAAAAGAAAAGACGTTCTCGATCAAGATCAAGATGGAGGGAACGCTCCCGATCGAATAGCATTGAGAGGACTAAGAGGCGGAAACACAGGAGAGAAAAAAGCTATGAGAGGTATGATAAAGATAGTAGCTTGAGGTCAAGGGACAGAAAGAGATCGAGATCCAGGTCTCGGGAGAGGAGAAAGTGGAGGTCTCGGTCTCGGTCTGCATCTCGATCTCGGGAGCACAAAAGCAGCAAATCAAAGGAAAAAAGACCACGATCGAGATCACGTTCCAAAGAAAGAAAGCACAGATCAAAAGAGACCTCGCTTCCTCCTCCACCAGAAAAGTGTCAAAAGCCTGTAGTTGAAAATGTGTCCAGGTGTCTGGAGCAACCCCATTCCTTCAAACAAGAGCCAAAGGAGGAGCTAGTACTGGAAGAGCTTTCCATAACCATCCAACCAAATGTCAAGCTTGAGGAAATACAAACTGAGACCCCCGTTCAACTGAGTGAGGCCCAAGAAACTATAAAGGTAGAGCCCATCTGTCAGGAACTGACCAGTGAAACTGCATTCCCTGTGCCAGAGATCACAAACATTTGTGTTCCGGTTGGCAATGTGGATTCTTTTGCTGAAACAGAATTAATGAGTAGTAGTGATCCAGCAGTGCTTGGTAGCTGTAGCAATACAAACCTTGAGATCACTGTTAAAATAGAAAATACTGCATTATGTCCATCTCTGATGGAACCCCCTCCAAAGAAGGAAGTTATCATGCACGCTCCGACTGAGGCTGCACCAATTCAAAGCTTGCCCAAAAGCAAAATAACGGATTGTGTGAAGGAGGTTAAAGATGAGTGCCTTGTGTCAAATGAGAAAACTGGTAATTTCAGTAAGCCTGAACTGGAGGTGGTACCTCAGGGTCCTGCACTGAAATCAAAAGCACCAGTGAAAAGAGTTACCTGGAATCTTCAAGAGGAAGAAAGCGGCACACTGTCTGCCGGGAAAGCTCCAAGTAAGTCTCTCTTTTGGAAAACAAAACAGCAGTTGAAGCAGGCTGTATAAGGCTTGGGGTTTTGGTGCCTGGCTGTAGTGTAACAGCTCTGTCATCTGAGCTGGGGTGATCCTGTGGTTTCCAATCCTGAGAGCTGGCATTTTGTACTTGTTGAAATCATGAGGTGGGTTGTGTTAATGAATTGGAGAGGCCATGCTGTCAGCACAGCTCAGCTAGCCAGCGGCAGCTTGTTCGGCCGTGAAGAGCATATTGCAACCTGATCTCTGAACTGGCAGCCTGCGTTCCACCCTTTCTGCAGTTAACTAGAACGGTTGTTTTGCCTTCAGAATTTATGAGTACTTCTCGGAACCACGGAGTGTGACAGATCTCTGTAGCTCGCTCCTGTGAGCTATGCTAAGCCAAAGCTGCGAAAAACAGTTTGGCTTGGGACCCTGTGCTATGTGTGTTGACAGAGTTGCTTGTGTGGTTCTTGTTGGTTACTCTTGTGGAAACCCAGTAAAAAGCAGTTGCTCAAGGGGATGGTAAGTCCTCTATTATCAGAAGCTTTGAAATGTTGATGACTGCTAAACAAAATCCTTTTATAGCTGCCTTTGTTGTTAGGTCTTTTTTATTTTCATTTGTTTAAATATAACTGGCTTTGAATCTTTGACCTGTTAGGTTTATTTTGTACTTAAATGTTTTCTTTTCCTTCTCCTGGGGAACCTAGGGATGCCATTTTACAAACTTCAGCGAGCAAAAGAAGGGGCCTGGAAAGCAGAGGACTTGAACCAAACGTTAAATCAGGTGCAGTTAAATGAGCCTCCTCCAACCAATTATATGATTCCTGAGCCTATGTTTCCTGATCTAGATTCCTCTCAGGTTGGTTCCTATTCCGGCACCCAAGTGTCATGGAAGGCATCCCACCTCATCTGTGCCCTCGTTGTGCAACACCCTCCTCTCATAGCAGAGGTCGCCTTCCTCTGCGTGTGGTACATTTCATACAGCCCATACGCCACAGCAATCCTCTAATCATTTAATCTCTCAGGTGGTCCTGACAGTTGAAGAAGCACATTTTCTTTTAATTCTGCTCTGTACATGCAACTTCTATTTTCAGCAGTAACTTGTGGAAAGATGGTGGTGCTCTTTGAGAAGCTGCAAGCTTCTCCCCGATTGTGATCAGGCTGTAAAAATTGGCCTGGTGGCACTGGTCTGTGCCATCAGTCTGTGCTGCCCACCAGTTAAAAGGCGAGTGGGGCTGGTGCTCCTGGTGCACAGAGACCTAGGTGAGGGCTGGGGTGTTAGCCTCCCTGATTTAAACTAGTAATCACTTTCCTGTTGGAGTGGCTAAAAGGTGCTCTGAAAATCCTGACGTGATGCTCTCTTTTGTAAGTACAAGCATTGACAAAATTGTATCTGTTTCACAGGTGTACTGTCAAAATATACCTTTGACACCACCTCTGCCCTCAAGCCTTCCCCCCTACGCCCCTGTCAGCCAGCCCACGGTTCAGTTTATCATGCAGGGTAGTCTTCCAGCGCTTGGCTGCATGGCAGGACAGAGCCTGACTCCGGAGCCGGGCAGCCTGGCTACTGCATCTGAACCAGGAATCCAAGCTGCTTCTGTTGGAAACACAGAAGAGAAGATCAAAGCACCCAAACCTCCAGTGGATAAAACGAAAAACGAGGAAGTGAGTGAACGCTATCAAGTAGCAAATGTATAACACTAATGAGCTGTTTATTTGACCTTTTAAAGTTTTTAACTTTCTCTGTACTGTATTTTCCCAGCCCCTGTTGTCACTCTTGGTTTTGGTGACTGACTGTGCTAACCCAGGAGCGTCAGGCAATCCTTCCTTTTTTAATTCTTTTGGGATTTTTTCCATTTGACGGTTCCGCTTTCTACTGCTTCATTGCAGTAAGACAGAGAGGGATAAAAGCATCTAAAATACATTTTTAAAGTTCTGAAACTTCCTTGCATGAATGTTTGGAAGGGACTTTTCAGAAGCCAGAACGTCCAAATTTCTCCAAACGCCTGGTTTTCTCCTTTCCCCTCCAGCTTTGAAATGAATGGCAATTCTCATAACAGTCCTGTAGAGAGGTAGGACTGTATCTTGCTGCTTACCAGCACTGAAAATGCAAAGGTAGTAAAATACTTTGGAGATTTTGCAGTGCTAGTCCCTTGCTGCTGAGTTTTGGGTTTCCTGTACAGACCATCCGCTCTAAGCGTTGTGGATGTTAACACAAGAATAAAACCTTCTTAGCCAATTATTTTACTTTCTACCACAAAACAAAACAGTAAGATGCTTTTCCCACCGAACCTCCATTTATGAGAAGCCGTTTTTGTGAGCTTGTTTTGATAGAGTATGTTCCGATGTCATCCCTAATCCTTAATTAATAGGCAACTCTGCAATTTTCAGAATGCCTTTATAGCTACCTGAAGCTTTATATTCGCAGCTATGACTTGCTTTTAGAATCTGATGCCGTTAGATGGATGTGTGTTTACTTCAGAGCTGTTGGAAGGAAAGGAGGAGACCAAAATTAATAAGAGGACTTTGTAGTCACTTGCTTAAACAAGGCTTCCTCGTAAGGTGAACTGGTACTTGTTTCAAGACTGCAATTTACAGTAAACGAAATCACTTTGAGGCTAGCTGTTACTTGGGCGGTTGAAATTGTGAAATGAGTATTTTCATTGTTAGAGCATTTCTAAGAAAAATAGATTCAGAAACCATTCCCAAGATAGCACAAGGTAATCAACTTCTCTTTGCTGTGCAGTACATGAAGAAGCTTCACATGCAGGAAAGGGCTGTGGAAGAAGTGAAACTTGCTATTAAACCTTTTTACCAGAAGAGGGAGATTACAAAGGAGGAGTACAAGAACATTCTTCGAAAAGCAGTGCAAAAGGTAAGGTGACAGTGAAATGAAGAGGAGGAGCTGTGCAGATCGTTGAATAAGCGGCATACTTTGGAATGCACTTGCCAGCTTCAGCAATTAGTGCTGTGACGGAGTAGCAGATCTTTGGACTCTGGCTCATAACTCTGCAGTCTTGTGGTAAAGCAATGGCTGCTTTAAGCAGGACTGAGTGGTGCCATTGATGAGAGCTGTCAGACTGTTCCTCTTAGAAGATTGGGTTTTCAGTGGTCCGTAACGTTGCTAAGCTTAAGCTGCCTGAGCTGAAACGCTGCATGGTACCTGCCTTGCGTGAGAATGGTCAAGTCTCTCTCATTAAGAACTTTGGCCAGAATTGTCAAGCTCTTTCTGATAAAGTGAGAAAATACTTTGTGCGTTAATTCCTTCAGCATCTTGTGGTGTCCCTGAACTTTGGAAGAGGGCCTTGCAATTTGGCTGATGTTGACTTTTGTCTCAAATCTTAGTGCTGACCAGATCGTGGCTAAAAAAGACCTGATCAGCAGGTAAATGTTGTCTTTTGAGAGCAAGTAATGCTCTTGTGGTCAAGGCAGTTAAATGATACCCTGGAGAACTGTATTCTCTCCCTGCCCTGCATTCTTGCTATCGCTGAGAAATTCCATCATAAATCAAAATTCCTGAGATAATGGCTGCAATTCCCCATCTTCTACGTGACCTGTATGAATCTCAGGTGTGGTTTGTAGGTGAGCTGAGCAACACCCATTGCTGCTGAAGTCACTCTGAACACCGATCAAGTTCTTTGTGGGGTCTGTTTGCTTTCTCCCATATCTCAAAATGGGCCCTCAAAAACTGCCAGATTCTTTTAATCTGAGCATCGCTTCCTCAAAATAATCAGAAAAATGGGAAATCAACACTTCCTTGGTTGTCATCTATTGTGTAAAACTGTCTGGACAGAAAAGCCCATAGTAAAAATGAATAATTCTACTTTCAGAGATGCTTCTGCATTCAGTTGGTGCTCAATAGATAAGTCCTGGGCCATTTCTGGAATGCTTGAAGTAAAATATTACTCTTTTCCTTGTTGAGTTTTCTGCTTTATGTATCCTGCTGTGAGACTCAAAGGCCTGTGCAGGAATCTGTTCCCCCGGGAAGCTTAGGGCTTCTGTATCACTTGTCTGTTGCCTGCCTGAACTGCTGCAATACTGTTAATTGACCAAATGCCTTTTTCAATTCCTTGTAGATCTGCCACAGTAAGAGTGGAGAGATCAACCCTATGAAGGTAGCTAATCTGGTGAAGGCGTATGTGGAAAAATACAAACATATGCGGAAACATAAGAAATCTGATGGCGAAGATACCCGTGAAGTGGAGAACTGAGAGCCAGCATGACTTGGACTGACCTATGCTGGCTGCGAACACCACACCAGAGGGAATAACAGATCTGCAGTTGCATCTCATTGAAAATAACATGCAGAGAAGCAAGATTATAATAGGACTTATCTGCGGAACCTTCTTTTGAATTGTTTCCATATGGGAATGAACTTGGGGGTTTTTGTTGGGTTTTTTTTTTTTTTTTTTTGGATTACCTACTGTAGAACTAAATAACAATCAAATGCCTCAGACCAGCAGAGTAATTCGAGGGGAAACACAGAAGAGATTAATGTTTGGGACTCCCGGATTGCTGCAGTTTTCAGGGTTACTTTGATCACATTTTTGGGCTGGGCACCTGTCTTGCTAAAAGTTTGAAACTGGACACCACTTTTCATATACAGTATATTGCGAGCTATATACTGTTTCCCTTGTGTTTATTTATCGAAATACAGATTGTCTTTAGAAACTTCTGATTTAATACTTGAAATGTTGTATTTTTAGCCCGTTTGATGGTGAGCGAAGCTTTACTCGCTCTGTCATTTGGGGATTGCAGAATTGAGCTAACCTTTATAAACTGACTTCAGAAACACTGCTCAAGCCATGGTGTTTATTTACGTTCTGTTGGAAGTATCTTGTTAGTGAAAAGTTTAATTTTGGGGTGGGAGACTGTGTTGCACTTCTGTAAATAATGCACTGATGGCTGGTTTTGTGTCTGCCTTTTGGGGGAAAAAACAAAACAAAAAGCGAGCATTGTGAATTTTCAGTAACAAGCCAGAGGGATAAGGTTGAACTGATGTACAAAGCAGAAATGTGACAGAATTTATAAAGTTATTTTGAATGGTTTTAGTCCTATAGCAGGTGTCATTTGTTTGTCTTACAGCTGCCTCTTGCCCTAGCTATTCTGTATAAACCTGCGCGCTTGGCTCTTGCGTAAGGAATTTGGTGTTTCTAGAAGAGGATTGGAGTTGGGTAAGCAATTGTTCCTCCTCCTCTGTAGGAGGACTGGGTTTCCTATCAAGAAGCGAAGGAGTCCATGTACTGACTTCATCTCGCTTTCTTTAAAAGCCCTCCTTGTCTGCATGTACGGCAGAGCAACCCATCTTTTTAAGCGATCATCTGAAATACAGTCACTTACAAATACATTCAGTGCCCTTGAACGTGACAAAAAGCATCATGCCCCATCTGACCGTGTTAGGGAGTAGACATCTAAGAGGGAAGCTGAAGAGAAAACCAGTAAATTACAACTTAGAAACTGGCTTTCCCTTCAACGGGAACTGAATGTACGTGGCCTGGGGGACCAGATGGCAGCAACACCTCTTACGTGAGGGCTTTCCCAACTTCTCGGAGTGCACTTGGAAACTGCCCTCTTTGGGGATAGCCTTGCTGTTTGTCTTCAAAGAGGATCACTTAGGTTCTCTGGGACGAGTTTTATAAAGCAAGTAACTGCAGCCCTTATTTTTTTTTTTTTTTTTTTTTTTTTCCCCTGGTGAGCATAGGCAAACTCACAAATAGCAAGACCTTTGATCCCTTGCTGGAGTTGCTAACTTTTCAGTGAATTCTGATTTCAGTCATCAGATTTTTGTCTGCATACTGTAATTTTGGCTGTGTAGCTCGTTTGGGGAGGGTTTTTTAATTTTATTTCGTTATTTAAACAAAACAAGCCCATATACCAGTACTGTCAGACTGGCGAAACGCTTCACTCCCATCATTCACCATCCTACAACATGTTTACAGATGAGCCCTGAGCGTTTTGGAGTTTATCTTCCTTGGCTCTGCTTCCTGTACGAAAGTGCAGCCTGAATGGAGTGTAAGGGGTTGATAACTTTGGGGCTTTCTTTGAAGATTTTGGGACAAAGGCTCGCTAAGACAGCAAAAGAACAGCTGGAAGAGAAGCTTTAGTTTTGAAGCTAAACTTGTAGCCAAAATACGTACCTAGAGTATGGTGTGGGGTTGTAAACACAAGATTTCTTGACAAGATAAAATCCAGAAACTTTTATGGCACTATTGGCACGGGAATGAAGGAATGTGATCTAATTGTGAATACACTTAGGCTGGAAATTGGGCGCCTTTGGATGGACTGGAGGAACAAGTCTGGAATAACTCACCTGCACGAGTGAAAAAGGGTAGGTGGCATGAAAAACAAAGCTTGACCAAACGGTAGAAGCAGCTGCACTGTTGACCAGGAAGCCAATGCCAACCTGGTTTGTTCCTCAGACCGATTCACTGCTTTAAATTCTTGCTTGTTGTTAACCTTGGCAGTAAAGGTAACGGCCCGTGGCAAGGTCTGGCAGGAGTGCATGCGGTGCAAGGATTTTCATTTCAGTTACCTCTGTGCCTGCCATTGCCTGGAGGAGCAATGGAGCCGAAAACGCTACCTTCTGCCCGCGCTTTCCCCTGAAGCTATCTGAACAAAACCACTGGCTCTGTCATTCTGTCCACCGTTAAGTAAATCCATCAAACTGTAAGCTCCCCTTGGGAGAGGCAATGAGAAACACCTAAAAATGCCCCTTCTGGCATGTTCTAAAAAATGGGTTTTTTTCTGGTATACTGTGCATACTCCTTGCATTCTTTTTTTCTTTCTGGTTGACCCTCTTGGATTAGATGTTGCCGCCTGTTTAAGGGAAGAAATCTTTCTTACTCAGTTTGGGAGTAGCATAACCTCTTATTAGTGTCCTTTCTCTCCTCTGCAACAGTGGTGACACCAAAAGCTCCTTTGGCAAAGGCAGGGACGCTGCCATAAGAAGTTGACTCAGGAGCTATTCTGCCACCATCTTTGTCTCCTAGGTGACTCCAGAGCTGCTTTCTGGACATACCCGTGGCCCTGGTATCTGACAGGAGGTGCTTGGGTTTGTTGGGAGCTGCTCTGAGGATGGATGGAGGAAGAGAGGGTGGGGCTCCTGGGCAGAGCTTGGGGAGGCGGGGAGCAAAACAAGAGGAGGAAATATAAGGGCGAGGCCGAGCGACCGGGAGGATCTAGCGGGTGCCACGCTGCAGGGCCATGACCCAGCCCAGAGCCTGTGAGTAGCTGCCCTGGCTCGTTGCCGCTCTGGTTCAGAGTGGTGGTGGGAGCCCTTTGGCTTGTCTCTCCCGTGGCACTGGAGGAGAGACTGGGCGTTTGGGGGAGGGTGAAAGCTTGCTTTCGTGCTGGGCTTGTCGTGTGTCCCAGGTTTAAGTGGTGATGCTGAGAACTGATGATGTGGCGGTCCTAAGCAGGCTGCCTTGCGCAAGGATCTGTCATGCCCAGCATCATCTGGTGAGGAAGTGAAACGAGGAAGAGGAGAGCAAATCTGACCGTGTTTTGTTCTAGTATCGTGCGACCCCCATCCCATATTCCCCTGGCACTCTTCTCGCCTGCAAACCTCTCTGCTCTGAACACCCTCCTTTCGGGGATGTTCTTGGCCATCAGCGAGTCCCTTCCCCTGTCCTGCAAGGGACCCCACTGTCACTGTGTTTTTCTCCTGCTCTCCTGGGGCTTGGGAGCATCTCTGCGGGGAATTGCAGCATGAATCTGGAGTGGGGGGAGAGGATGTGAGAGAGGAAGTGTCTGAACTCACTAGCCATGGCCTCAATGCATCTCCCTAGCTGTGGTCGAGAGCTTCGCTGGGCTGAGTTATTTGGAGAGCAGCTCTCCTCCTGACGTCGGCTCTGCCCTGCCAGCCCGCTGCTGGGATTAGAAACCTGCTGGTTTCAGGGTAGATGCATCTGCGGCCGGAGGGCTTGCAGTGCTTTAAGCAGAGCAAAGCTGTTAATGCGATGCTTGGGCTACCGGTCAATGTCTGGTGGGCACCGTTTCCACCTGTGTCTTCAGGCCCATCCAAGATCCTTGTGCCTCAGCTGTGGTTCCTCTCAAAAGGACACAGGATTGCAGCTCAAGCAGCAGCTCCGATCGCGCTGTTCAACCAGCTCCTGCATTTTGCCTCTGCTTTTCCTTGCTGGCTGAAATGACCCCAAAGTCATGCAGCGCTCAAGGGAAAAAAATGGTGAGCAACCCAAAGGGGGAAAGTCTCTCTTAACCACCTTCCTTATCCCATGCATCCAGGTCAGGAGCAGGAGGACAGTTGGCGTGAAGTGACTCTCTCTACCCAGAGGCTGCGCGTGCTGCCTCCAGCGGTCCTGAGCAACCCCGTGCTGGAGAGCCTTGACCTCGACAGGAACAAGCTCAGGAGCATCACCGGCATTTCTAAGCTTTGCAACCTGAAGAAGCTGATACTGTCCAAGAATGAGATTGTGGACTTTCCCAATGAAATCCAGAGCCTGGTCTGTTTAGAGAAGCTTGAGCTAAATCAGAACCAAATCCGGGTGATCCCAGAGGGGGTTTTCTCTCATCTCCCCAGGCTTAAACACTTGCGGCTGAACAACAACCGTCTCAGTGCCCTTCCCATGGACCTGGCAGCTTGTCGAGGCAGCCTCCAGTACCTCAACATCTCCAACAACCTATTCCGGACCTTCCCCCAGCCTGTCCTGCAGCTGGCATACTTACAGGAGCTCCACGTGCAGAATAATGCCCTTCGCCAGCTCCCCAAGGAGCTCTTCCAGGGGCAATCCCTGAAAATGTTCAAGGCCAATGGAAATCCCCTCCGGGAGCCACCCAGTGAAGTGTGTGCTGGTGGTATCCAGCAGATCCGGAATTACTTCAACCAGCTTCAGTGTGGTTCAGGGCAGGAGGACAAGAGGGTCAAGACCATGTTCCTGGGGGCCTCACTGGCAGGGAAGTCCACCATCTGCAAAAGCTTGAAGCAAGGGAAAAGCAAACCGGTGCCCAAGGAAGAGCGAACGGTTGGGATAGAGATTAGTGAGTTCCAGATCAAGGACTTCACATTTCTCTTCTGGGACTTTGCCGGCCAGCTGGAGTACTACATGACTCACCATGTGTTCATCACCCCACAGGCACTTGTCATCCTTGTCATCAATCTCCACATGTAAGTGCTGAGCTGCTTTGGATTCAAAGTGGAGTGGGAGAAGAAAAAAGGGGTTGGGGAAGCTTCCCCCAGTGCGGGTTCACACCATTTCCATTGGACCTCAGTGCCTGGCTTTCTCACTGCTGGAGTAGCTAAGCTCTCCATCTCCCTCTTTTTGCAGATCACTCTCTTAAGTGAGAGATGTGTCATCAGCTTACCAAAGTCCTCTGTTTTGAGGTTAGATGAGCATCAACACCTTACGTGACAATTGATCCCTGTCCAACCGGCTTTGCTTTCTGTCCTGGAAATACCTCTGTGAGCCCTCCTGTATCTTGTGGTGCTCCCTGACCATGGAGGGAGCATCAGACTTGGGCTTTGTGGTACAGAGGGATGCTCCTATCCACAGCAGGGATGGACTCTGCTACACCCCATAGATTTAACTGGCTTAGCTTGAGGATGGGAAACTTAAGAATGAGCTTGGATACAGCCCATGACAGCTTAGGAGATCTGAGCTCTTCTCCAGAGAAGATTCCATGGTCAGGCCTGTGCTGGTGTGGAAGTTGGCTGGAGATCCGAAGGGTTAGACGTAAATTTGGGATTTTCTTTCTCTCCCTCCCCAGGTACCAAACTAATGACAAGACTTTCAAGGAGCTCGTTGGTTTCTGGATCAACAACCTGTCCATGCGAGTCCCAAACTCGGTGGTGCTTCCCGTGGGAACCCATGTGGACTGCTGCCAGGAAGAGGAGGTAGAGAAGAAGAGGCACGACATCATGGCCAAGATTGCAGCCATGCTGGCAGAGAGAAAAAGCAACCTCGCTCACTTCATTGACAACCTGGAGGGCAGCGAGGAGCCCGAGTTTTACGCGGACCAGTGGGAGAGGCTGAAGGAGATGGAGAGCTGCACGTTAACCGTAGGGCTGAGATTATCATGGTTCCTTGCTGTCTGTGGTCACCCTGTTGTCTCTGGCAGCCCAGCATGCTACTGGTGATGGTGACCTGGTGCTAATGCACCAGGCTGCTACTGCAGCTGCTCCCTGGGGCTGGGGCGGACGTGGTAACTGCTGGCTGTGACCCACTGGGTCCTTGTCCCTGCTTGGTGACAGGCATCTCCTCCCGTGGTTTGTAGCAAGTGCCTGGGGAGGAATGTGAGGGGGCATTTACCATCCCCAGGTGACTTCCTGGGAACTGCTGCAGAGCAAAGTGTGAAGGCAGCGCCCTCTGAAGCTGAGCCAGCGGTGTGTCCCACCCTTGGTGACCTCCTTGGGATTAGGTCCCTCCTTTACCCCACAGGCTAAAAGACTCCTCTGGACGTGCTTTTGGCAGGTATGTGCTTCCTCTCTTCCAGATTTTAAACTTGGTTGCTGTCAACTGCATGGATCACCATGATATCAAAAAGCTTGAGGCCACTATTCTGGAGCACGTGAAGAATGAAGAGCTCTTCCCCGAGGTTGTCCGAGTGCTGCCACCTGTCTACAGGCAGGTAGAAGCTGCCATTGTAGATATTGCACAAAGTGAGGAGATGGCAGACCATGGTGAGTGGTCCATCGCCCCCACACACACCTTCCTGGAAGGACCTGCTGTCCTGTGGCTGAGACTGGCTCTCTGGTGCTTGCTGCACCTTCTGGCCCTGCTCATGTGGTGCGGGGGGGATGCTGCTGAAGATCTTGCTGTGTTATTACTGGGGCATTAATTGCTACTACCCAGCTCTGTCATTATGAGCATCTGCCCCCAAGGCAGGTGCCTAGGGAAAAGCATAGGGAAAGGCCAGTTGTGTCTTCACCAGGAGGGTCTGCCAACATCTACCAACCCGTGGCTGGAGGTACCCTGAGCAATTAAAAAAATTTTGCAGGAGGGAGCGCCACAGCTTTAATGCTTCTTTGTGGTTTCCAAACTTATGTCCTGCTAACTTTATTTAATGCCCCCCTACCCCTTCCCTAGCCCCTTCTCCATCTCCAGTGACTTAGCAGAACCAGCCGGCAGCCCCGGCTCCTTGCTGATGTACCTAAAGCAGGTATGAGCACCACCAGCACTCAGTGTCATCTCTGGCTCCCCTGGCCACTGTCGGATTAGAAGATGAGGAGCAAATGCTTCTCTTTTGTGAAGATAAGCCAGGTTTTGTCATCTGTCTCGCTGTACAACTGAATGGCAATCTGAGGCTTAACTGGCAATCTGAGGGTTTTCTGGCTGGAAACAAACCTGCTCTCTCAAACAATGAAAAAACCCAGTATTAGCCTCATTTTTCAGATGCTCCATTGAGGTCCTGGCAGGCTGTTGGCACCACTGAGACAAGGCAAGACCATGGGCGCTGCCGGGTGGCAAGTGGGAGAGCTGAAGATGGGCAAAGCATTTTGGGCCGTAACCACCGAGCATTGTGCTGGTCTCAGCTGCTTCCACAGGGACAGCATGGGTGATGTTGGGTGCTGCTGGTGTTTGTTGGCTCTCTAAAGCATCTGCCTTGGAACACTGGTGTCCGAGAGATGCATGCTGAGCTCCCACCTCTCCCTTTAGGCATGATGGACCTCCAGTACCTCCTAAGCAAACTCTCCCAGTGCGAGCACCTGGCCAACCTGGGCAGAGAGCTTCTCCAGGATATCTTGCGGTACCTCCACCGCATTGGGCTTGTTGTGTGGTACGAGGAAATCAAGCACCTGGAAAGCACTGTTTTTCTCCAGCCTGCCTTCCTAATAACTATGTTCAAGGTGAGTGTGGGGATCAGGACTGTCTTCTCTGCAGCTTTGCTGGGCTCCTCGCATTGCTGCCTCTTTTCTCCTTCTCTTCCCACCCAGCTGCTTGTGAGGTACCGCCTAGTCCAGCAGCTTGAGAGCATCTCTGTGGACACGCTGATCGGGGAACACGCCACCATCAGAGACCAGTCCAACTGGGTGTGGACCTTCAAGTCAAAGGCAATGCTGTGTCACCGGGCCGTGCGTGCCTTGGTGAAGCACCAGCTCTGTTCAGAAGGGATGCAGGACGTCTTTGAGGAAATCATGGGACCCAGGCCCCACAGCGGGAGAGGGAAGCTCTTCAGCCTCCTGGAGCACTTTGAGCTCTGCCTGGAGGTGAGGCATGCCAAAGCACTCAACCCACAGGCCAGTGAGTTTGTGCCTGGGAAGCCATGGGAGACAACGCGGGCCCAAGGCGAGTCCTGGTACTTGTTCCCCACCTATCTGAATCAGACCGAAGAGGTCTCTGAGGTGTGGGGAGGAGACCACCCCGAGGATCTCCACATCCGTGTCTACTTCTCACCTGAAATACCTGAGGGTTTCTTCCAGAGGTAAGCAGTGGTTTCCAGCCCTCGATGAAGTTGTGCGGTTTGGGGTTTTCTCGGTGCAGCGCCAGTATGACAGTCAGCAAGCCCTTGGCTTTTGAGACCATATCATCTGAGGCATGAGGCTGGGACTCAGGAGACCAGGGCAGCTTCTCAGCTCTGCCACAGATGTGTGGAGCCCTGGATGAACCATTTTGATGTTTGCTGCCTGGACATGAGCAAGGACCTTGCTTCTTCTGGTTCACCTTCTATCTGGGGTGGTTTTGGGCTAGTCTGTGCCCATCCAGGCAGTCAGAGGTTTCCCAGTCCCATCTGAGGATGGTCCAGTTTCTACAGGTGCTGGGACTGTTCCAGTTTCTGGAAGGTCTCTTGTCCTTATGGGGTTCTTGACTTGTGTCCAGAGTTTTATCGGATGGCCAAACTCTGGAAGAAGCTCTTGGCTTAAGAGGCTGCTCCTACTGCTCGAGCTTTCAGTAGGGCAAGACCCTTGCTTGGCATCTTCCTCTGTTGTTTCTACTGAAATTGGGTTCATATTTTTCCAGTCCAACTGGTCCCACGCTTTCTCCCAGAGATAAGCAGGGAGGAAGGTGGTGAAAGCCATGGGCAATCTCCTTGCAGGTTCCTGGTGAGAGCTTGCTCCTTGTACTCCACGCACTGGGTGGCCAAGGCAACCTGCCTGCTCATATGCAATGGCAAACCTCTGCTGATCAAAGAGAATAACCAGAGAGCCTACAGCTACCTGGAGCTCCGGTGCAGAAAGCCAGCAGGAAGGACAGGTAAGGATCCCTGATCGTTACTTCATGACTCCCAACCACATGTCGCTCCTTAGCACCCCCTCTGCTGCCTCCACCGCTCTGGGCAGAGCATGCCAGAAGCCTCTGCCACATGTCCTAGCCAGACCAGCAAGTCAAATACAGATTTTCCCTTTCTCCATGCAGCCTGGTCAAGATTCCTCTCAAAGCATCCCATGAAAGTGGAAAGTCAAGTTTTCAGTCTTCTCATGACGCAAATGGGTCATGCTTTCCCATAAGGTCCCAGCAGAGTACAGTCTCGGGCTAGGTTTCCAAGTGATAAGCAAAAGGGCCATCCGAGTTGGGGAGCATTTCCAACATACCTTTAAATTCTCTTTGAAGGCTGATGGGCCTTGGTTAACCTGAGAAACAGAGGTGGTCCAGTCATTCTGGTGATAGTCTGGCGGGCTGGAAGCGATGTGTGCATCACCACAGCATCTCCTGGGCTGCCACGGTTGGGTGGCTGTGAGCAAGCGAGACATTTTCCTTTTGCCTGGAAGGTTTCCAGTTTGCCTGGGACTTCTTCATGGCAGTTGTGTTCATCGTCCAGAAGCTTGCTGAGGAGTGGCCAGGGCTGCATGTGTGCGTGAAGACTCCTTGCCGAACAGCCGGCTGTCCCGCGGAGCTCATCTGGCCAGACATGGATGGCACAAATGCCATGTACGTATGCGCTGCGCCCCTCCAAGCCGAGGGCTGGAGCTGGGTGGTTGCTACTGCAATGCTGGTGGGGCTGCTCAGCTTCTAAAAGCCATGTGAAATAATTAGTTGCGAAACTTGCCAGGCCCTTCTGCTGACCATAGCAGCCCGTGTCCCACGTGGTGTTAGCATTGCTTGTGTGGGAAATTCAAGCATGGAAAGAAAGGTGGAAAGAGTTAAGAGTCGGGGGGTTCAGGCACATAATGTCCACGCTGGCCAGGTGCCCCCCCTGTTTCATGAAGAGCTGAAGGTGCTCAAGAACCTGGGAAGGCAGCAGCTGTCCCACCGATGGTGGGACCTCAGGTTAGGGTGGAAAGAGGGATCCTCTTCTATTGCCTTGGCATTGCCCTCCATGGGAACTGCTCTGAGCAGCTCCTGCTCCTTCTTCTCAGGGCTTTTTCCTCCGCAGGATGAAGGAAGACATTAAAACCTGTGGGACGTGCGGGCACCGCTTTGGCACAGAGCTGCTCCTGCCCAAAGGTGAGCCCAATGGTCCTGGGTTTGCACCGCAACAGTGCTCAGGGCGGGAGGAGGGCTGAGGGTTTCATGGAGCTGGAGGTGCTGATGGTCTCCCCCCCCATCCCCACAGTGCCCAAGCAGCCGGAGGAGCCCCCGGCACAGCCCTCTGCTTACTATTACGTGACCAGCTATGGGACCACCACCTTCGGGCAGAGCAGCATCCAGGTCAATCGGCAGGTAAGGAGGCTGCCACCTCCCCTTGCCCAGGGTCCAACAGGAATGGCCAGGCTCGTCCTCTCCCCTTGCTCCTGAAATGAGGGGGGTGCAGCTGCTTCCAGCCCAGGGTGGGAACACCCCCATCTTCAGGCAGCACTCTGGTTACCATGTTCCTCCCTGAGATACCACCACCTCTGTGCCTCAGAGCTGAGCCCTGGGTGCTTCAGGGTGTAGTTACTGCCTTATTTTTCCAGAACATCTCACACGAGTAACCCTGGGCCAGCGGGGAGGCGCTTGCCGAAGAAAGAAGAAGTATTTTTTGTTTCGCCAAAGCCAAGCTGTCCTCAACACACTTTGTTTGCAAGTCATGTTCGCAGCCTTAATGCATGGAAATAAAAGCATCAGTGAATGCATCCCTTCATGCCTGGGCCGTCACCTCATTTAGAGTCATAGAATCATAGACTTGTTCAGGTTGGAAAAGACCTTTAAGATCATCAAGTCCAACCATTAACCTAACCCTGCCATCCCACCACTAAACCCTGCCCCTAAGCACCTCATCTGCCCTTCTTTTAAATACCTCCAGGGATGGGGACTCAACCACCTCCCTGGGCAGCCCATTCCAGAGCCTGACAGCCCTTTCTGGGAAGAAGTTTTTCCTAATGTCCAACCTAAACCTGCCCTGGTGCAACTTCAGACCATTCCCCCTCGTCCCATCGCCCGTTACCAGGGAGCAGAGGCCGACCCCCACCTGGCTCCCCCCTCCTGTCAGGCAGCTGTAGAGGGCGATGAGGGCTCCCCTCAGCCTCCTCTTCTCCAGGCTGAACACCCCCAGCTCCCTCAGCTGCTCCTCGTAATGAACCTGAGGGGGAGAAGGTCCTGAAAAGTGCTCCAGTAGGGGCCTGCTGCCAGCTGGGACAAGGCTGGCCACGGACTCCCATGGTTTTGGGGGATGGGGTGGGGTGAAGGTCTCTGACTGATAGTGGGGGCAGATGTCCAGGCAACATCAGCAAGCGAGAAGCACCTTTCTATACATATATATATTTAAACTTAGAAAACTTAAGAAAATAAATCTGTAAATGACCACACTCCACAAAAACACATGTTAGCAGCTGGTGGAGGGGAAAAGCAACTTGTCAGCTCCGGGACCGGCCGGTGAAGCTATCCTTGGGGTGGGGGGAGTGGAGGAGGAAAGGTCCCCACCCAGGGCATCCCACCACGGCCTTTCTGGGGGGATGCTGCTTTGCACAGCCCCTTGATGCCTGATGGTCCC